TTCCATGGCTCTGTTTAGTGTGCCAGTCGATTAGGAATACAGACACCACGCTCTGACAATGGAAGCGAGCGAGCTTTTGAAACGTCAGCAAGAAAACACTTTGGTCCCAGAAATCGTCTCTTTTTCTTCTTCCTCTTCCGGGGATGATGTAAGGAATAATTTATCTGAACCTCGAATTTTTTCGCATATACTTTAAAATTTTAACTGTTTTGTACACGCGTTATAACCAGCTACTCTTTTGTTGCTGTTTCCTTTTCTCTGACGATGGACTCCTGCACGAGTTCGATAGCTCAGGACAATAAACAAGTCAAGCTTGCATAGTTTGCAAGAACCTTTTTTTCGCCTATTGTTTAATCGGCCCTCTTCATTTCTTCCAACATGTTTCGAGGTTTTAACCGGTGTCTTCCTGCCTGGTTTATTCAGGTTCGCGCCATTTTCCTGCTGTCCGAACCCTTCTCCGTAGAGAATCATCTCCTCACACCGACCATGAAGTGCGCCCGACACGCTATTCGCCAGCGTTATCAGAACGTACTTAAGAAGCTGTTCGCCAGCGGTGAACTCGACTAGTCGGCACACACCCAGACAAACAGGGTTGGCGTCTTTTTCTCCCGTCTCGTCTCCCCCACTTGCAGGATACTTCCCTTCCTCTCTCCGTGGCAGCGACGAATTTGTGTCATTTCTTTTTTGCCTGATTGACTTCCGCCGCCGATCGCGGCCTTTTTTTGTTTAACCATTACAATCTATCTCTCAAGGTCACACTACAGTCTACATCAAGGTCACGTTGTTTCCGTATATGTACAAACCCGCCGGACTTGATGTCCTGTGCTGTCTTTGAGCTTCGAGCTTTTGTGTGTACGAATATATGTGTATGTGGCACCTTTGCCGAGTCGACACAAACTCCATTTTATTGTACGTGGAATACACCGGATTTACTTGTTGCTTCCTTCCCCCCCCCGCTCTCAGCTGTTTCAGATCGTTTCTCCTTTACTTGAATATGTGCATGCCATAATATTTTGCCCAAGTAAACTTACCACTTTTGGGTGCATCCTTTCAGGAACCCAAAGTCGGCAGACTTGCTGCGTTTTTTCTGATTTTTCATCGGGCCACGAAAGACGGTGACAACAGTCCTTGAATAGGGAGGCGAGGGGTCAGTAACTACAGCTATCGCGGTGGCTTAAGTTAGTAGGGAGAAGATCCCTGCCGCTGCGATCTTCAGGGCCGGTTCCGTAGGGCAGGGCAGAAGTGGGACGCCAGGTGGAAGAAATACTGTAGTCCTCGATTGATCCAATTGTGAAAACTTCGTCGCCTCGGTGGGATTCGAGCCCACACATCAGGGAAGGCTTTTGCACAGCCAACACTCTACCATTGAGCTGCGAGGCTCACCATGCGCCTAGAATGTAATCACACTTGGGTCGATTTTACTCGCCCAACTTACTGCTCGTATGGAATCCGCCAATACGGACGCACTTAGCTGACTTCTAGGCAGGATGTCCTAAGTAATCATCTAGGATCCATTGGATTTAAATATGTCAAACCCCTAACAACGAAGGCTACCCTAGTAATCCACCTGGTGGATCCTAGATGACTACTTATGAAATCCTGCCTAGATTCCGTACGTGCAGTAGAGCTTGGCAAGCAAATCAGCCCAAGTGTGACTAAATTCATTGCGCACGCTTAGCGGTAGAACGTTGGCTGCGCAAAAGCCCTCTCTGCTGTGTGGGTTCGACCTGCACCGAGTCCGCGAAGTTTTCACAATTGGCTCTATTGAATAATTGAAATCTACCAAACCCCTGACATACTGTGTTTTGTACGGAGGTAGAGAGAGGGAGTACCTAGACTGATAAAAAAACTGAGTAAGTAGGGTCCTGTTCTGTTCGTAGACAGAAGAAGGAAGCAAGTAGGTTCTGCAGTTCATCTTCTGCTCACCGGAATAAATTTGTAGGTTCGCTGACGTTTCGGACAGCTGGGCCGGCTCTCCTTTGTCGAAGCGTATTCTGACTTTATCGATCAGCAAACTTAAAGTTGCGGCTGAAAGTTTTGGCCTTGGGCTGAAGGTGGGTCTAAAAATGCAAACTACTTCTCCAGCATGTTATTTAAACTAATTTGGTACATGCACACCTTATGGTGGACAGAACGATGTTTGTTTTATAGATGGTGTCTTGCTCACCAGAATGAGTTTGTATGCTCGCTGACATTTCGGACAGCTGGGCCGGCTGTACTTTGTCGAAGCGAATACTGACTTTACTGATCAGCAAGTTTAAAGTTGCGGCTGTATGGGTTGGCCTTGGGCTGATCGATTTTTCTCCGTTCGCTGTTTGGCCCTGCGTGTAGATTTTGGCTTGGCATGACGGCGGTTGGTGTTGTGTTTCGTCCCCACGGCAGATGATGCTGGTAATCCTGTTCTTACGTTGGTTTCGTCACAGGGCTGTCTTCGTCTGCAAATCCTGACTTCGATTTGACCGCGTCCTGTCCTTTACTTACGTAATGGCATAGGCCGCAGGGAGGTCCAGGTGCCTGTTGACAGAGTTGTCGTCTGAGTATCATGCCTCAAGCGTCGATCTTTCAGCTGTCCGAAACGTCAGCAAACCTACAAATTTATTCCAGTGAGCAGAAGATGAACTCTCATTCTTTTCCCGGAATTCCGATCTTTTCAAATCTGTACCAGTAGGTCTGCCCCTTGGTTAGGTGCTGTAAGGCCACGTGAGAGGATGTGGGGCTCCGCTGGCGCCGGACTGACTGAAGGACTTGGACGAAAGTTTTGCGCGATGTCGAGGTGTTTGGCTGACTAACCCTATGGCCATCGTCTCCGCCGGTGCAAGTGTCCTCTGTCCAGCATTTGTAGATGATGATTCGTCATGGCCGGTTGACGTATATCCCCGATGTCCGCCGTCCACCGCGGACGAAGGGGGGAAGGCGTGAGTCATGGTGGCGCGTTGGCCTTGATATTGCCAGACAAGACGGCGCTCTTGCAGCGGCTTGGTCAGGCGCCTTGTTGTTCGACCAATATAACCTGCCTCCCACAGACACCAGCGAATGCGTCTAAAATGGCAGTCTGTCCTGAACTTCAAGGCGAAGAAGGGGAGATTATAAATCATGTCTGGGCGGCTGGGTAGTTGCGCGCAATAGCTCCTTTTGAGACAGCAATGTGGGTAATTGGTCATTATTCTCGACCGTTTGTTTGGGAGATGTAGGTCTTGTGTTAATTTTCTTAGGAAGCTATCTTCTCGTGGAACGCTTTTGTGAGGGCGGGTTCGGTTCCAGGCGTATCCGGAGAGCATATTTTTTCTAGTCCGCTTGGTCGACTAAATCTCGTATAAGACTTAGGGGTACAAGACTGTAGAAGTCTGTGTATTGCAGTGTCCACGTTTTCTTGCGGACTAAACTACCTAAGACATTGTTTCCTAGGTATGAATTTGAAGCAAGCATAAACAGCACGATTTGTTTGTAGAAACACACTTCAGGACAACTTTTCACCTGCTTCCTCTTTTTGCATGAATTAGATACCAAGTGGAGACCACAGCAGTTTGAATTTTCACAGAATCAGTAACAGCAAGGTCATTCAGCAACGCGGTGAAAAGTCAATAATAATGATGCCTTTACACTTGGGAAGGAAAAGTAGGGACGGAAATTAACAAAAAGTAAACGTTGATTTAATTTAGGCATGCGATTGTCAGGGCAGTTGGAGGTAAGCCACATTACCTAACTGCTTACATAGGTCGGATTTCTCCCGCCGTATATAAGCTGCTTCCATATAGCGCAAGGTCCGCTTTGTTCGTGCTCGAACGGGAACTCGGAAGGATGTTTTGAGGTCGACAGACTGGAATATCTTGGGATTAGACGGCAAGGGAATTTAAATTACAATCTTGCCTAAGTAATTCAGTTGCAAGGAAAATATATCTCGGAATTCAGGTGACATTTCATGAGATAGGGGATTTAACCGCGGACTAAACTTTGTTTCTGACTTAGAGAAACGAAACTCTGAATATTTTTCATTACACTTTTTATGTTTCCTGCAAAATACGCTTCCACCACATCCTCCAGCTAGGGGAGGCCACCCATCGTCTCTTTTTTTCAAAAAGAGAAGGTTAATTTTGGGTAAGCTTGATTCATTTGGCCACGTAGGTGTCAAAACCAAGTTTTCCACAAAGATATCCTCTGTTTGGAACCCAAGGAGCGATTTGAGCGCTAATCCTTTAAGCGGGCGATAAATTTGACTGTCGATTCGAATTATACATTCAGTGGATAGTGAATTAACAGCGCATCTGGGGCTACAATCTGTATGCTAGCTGATACATTTTGCTAAGCAATCCTGTCGTATAAGAATTACATCTCCGGATTACATTACTTTCCCGCTGAGATTTGTGTTTTTGTTCATTGGGGATACTGTGGTTTTCAGCTTACGAAGACAGGCCTAGTTTCTGTAGACTCAGTTTGGGTTATATTGTGTCCTTCTCGCTCGATTCCAAAATACGTATCCTCAGTCGCGGCTCATTCAAGTTTGAATCTTAGATCCAGTTATTCGCTAGGATGAGCCACTTGCGTGTGCTCGCCAGATAAGTCCGCGAAATTGTGTCCGATGCTGTCAATCCTTGACTGCGGAATGTTTTTAGAGAGCCGTGCAGCCAGCCAGGTGCACAGGCGCGCATCAGTTGGCTGTAACTAAATTGCGCCTTGAGCATCGAGCAGACAGGGGAGCATAGGGCCGCCAGGACATCGCGGGCCTCTCGCAGCGGTTGACAGGATGCGTGAGAGTTTAGTGGGCGCGAATAAGGGGTGAGCATGGGAGGCTTGACGAACAGTGGCAGCGTGAGTCAACGCGGCTGGCTCCCACAGCCACAATATCCCGTCGTATAAGAATTACATCGCCTCCGTGAGGGAATGTCGCTAAGAGAGAATCCAACGTCATAATACAGGGATTGGCAGAATCAA